AATAGTCAAGGTGCAATCGAATCGAAAAAAGCAGATCTAACGCAAGAAAAACAAAAGTTGATAGACGAAGTGAAAGCGAAGACAACAACAACAAGTTTTATACATACTGCATCTGTTTTACAAAAGGTCAAAAGTATTAAAAAAAAAAGCATTCAGAGCAACATCAGAAGCAAACTTCGCGATTAACAGAACTTTAAAACTTCCCCCTTCTACCGGTTTGGCTGATAGTACTGTATAAAGTTCTTTTAGACTCTTAAAGCCAAACATTTCTTAGTCACAACCTTTTGTGAACATCGATGTAACGAACCCCAAAACATGATGAAATGCCGCTGTTGTCCTTCTCTTCTAGTTTTTGTTCTTGTAATCCGCGTAGTACATATACTACGCAATTACATCTTCCGAAGATCATGCAATAGTTCCGAGTTCATTAATGAGAATTGCCGTCGAGAGAACGGTCGACTTGTCTTCCTCGATATAGTTTATACTTCCTTCTTCTTTACCAACACATTCCCTTTTAAAATTCGCTGTTCCTTCGCTGACTTCCTCTCTTTTAAAATTCGCTGTTCCTTCGCTGACTTCCTGCCTTTTAAAATTCGCTGTTCCTTCGCTGACTTCCCCCCTTTTAAAATTCACTGTTCCTTCGCTGACTTCCTCTGGTGTGTCAGTTGAAGATGAGTGACCAATAACTTTCACGCTGTTCCGTTTGTACTTCTTCCTTTGTTTCCTCATTTTTGATCTTCTTCGCATTTTCTCGACAGTATGTTTTCTAAATTTTGACATCTTGTAATGCTGAGATCCGATGCAATAACTTAATGGTAAGAGTCTACCGGCTCAGTTCACAGTAAATCAAGTTGTTATGGGATTCGTTGTCAATCGGTGTTCTCTTTGAAAACAAGGTTGGCACATGAGACTTCGTTTCTTCTCACATTTGCTAATAAAAGGGACCTATTGTTTGCGACAATAGCGGAATTTTTCAAGTTTGCGAGTCACGCGTCATTGATTGAGAGCATTGTTTCAAATTGTATAACTAACGAAAACTCGTAGAAGTGAGAAAGTTCATTGACTTCCGACTGCCGACTTTCGGCACGCCACGCATTAGCAGAGAAAGTCGATCATTGCTAAGTTACTAGACAACTGTTTTGACCTTGCGAGAAAAAAATGTCTTTTTCAGCTCCCTGTCAACTGTGTACAAAGAAGTTTAAAACAGGTGTTTCACTGAAAAAACATTTCGGATTGAAACACCAGGAAAGGAATCTCGAGATCGCGCAATTTTTGGACGAATCAAACAGTCCATGTGAACAGCCAAAAGCAGCAGCACTTATTGACGAAGAAATGGAAGATTATCTCAAATGGCTTGGGGTTCTTGTGGAGCGAATCAATGGATCACTGGTACCGGATCACCCAGGTAAATGCTCTAACCCGCAATGTGTTCTTTATTTTGGTGTGCTTGGACTTACACACTTACTTACACCTAACTTTATTTTCATCGAAAGGAAAATGGTGCCATGTTGATTGCCTTCAAGTGCCACAGAAGTACTTCGCTCATTTACTCTGTCGTTTGGGAAACCCTATGGTAGACAGCGTACGTGATGCTCCCCATATCCGTCAGCCGATTTTCAAGAGAATAGCGCGGCGCTTTTCATATAAAATTTTCAATGAGGAAACCTTGAAGCTAGTGTTGGAGGAGCAAGACCTGCTGCAATTTCGGCCAAAAGCCTTATTCAGAAATAGCGATGAAGTGCCTGATATCTCCGAAATGTCAGCAGAAGAAGCACTAGCTTATGCAAAAGCGAGAGCCAGAAAGCAGGACTCAAGACCGACAAGCCGCTCGTACCTAGATATTGGTCCAGGTGAAGGACGCTGTACAAGGGAATTAGAACTGATATGGTGGCCGAGTCTCTACTCACGTTGTTCAGAGTACGGCAAACTTACTTTTCGCTTTTTTGTGAGGAAGACTTCATTATAGTTACATTCATTTCAATCTTTCAAAGGCTGAACAAGTAAGCGCAACGCATTTGAAAGAGATGTTGCGTTCGTTTTGCGTTTGAATTTCTAATTTCTTTAATCATCGTTGCGTGGTATACATATAGGGACTCTTAAGATCCATCGCTTCGTTACAAGGGTATACTGTACACTGTTACATGCCGTTGTTATTTACTATTAACGTTCCTAGAGCAAGGACGCATAGACGTTTATGATCAATAAATATTTAATAATTGTATTTTTTTTAGAGGAAGACTTCACATATCTAGTTACATATTCTTTTCAATATTTCAAAAGCTGAACGAGTAGGTGCAAGGTATTTGAAAGAGATTTTGCGTTCGCTTTGCGTTTGAATTTCTGATTTTCTATAAAATCATTGTTACGTTGTATATATACAGGGACTCTAAGATCCTCGCTTTGTTATTGGGGTTTATTGTACACAGTTACACTCTATTCTTCTTTGCTATTAAGGTTCCTAAAGCAAGGATGCATACTCGACGTTTATGATCAATAAATATTGAATAATAATTGGAAATTTTTACTCTGCTCTTATAATTCGGCTAGATTACTGAACACCCTGCCACTCGTTTGCATCTCATTGAATAACAAAAGGCAATTCTTTGTGTATGCTTCGTTCTAAAAGCGTTTCGACATGTGGCCGGGTATTCTGAATGTACTGCGTTCGATTGATAAATTCGTTCGCTCCAAGTTCCTAAATCAAGGACCGTGATGCCTTACGTTTATGTTAAAAAAAAATGTACATTACAAAATGCTCACTGGTTGTTACGGTATAAGTCGAGCTATTGGTTTCGCGTAGTGTACTACTTAGTTGAAATTGTTGTGTAGTTTGACTTTCACTGCTTAAGTTTGTATGAAAACAACTTCTATCAAAACAACCAAATCGACAAGAAAAAATAACTTTAATCTTGGAATATTAGTCAGCAAAGCACGCTGCCTGTTTGCAACTCGTCGCAACGGTAACAACCGGTTTCGCTACTTGTCGAATTCGCTACCGCCTGGTTCGCAACAACTTCGCTAAAGATTACTTTCTGTAAACCACTTGGTCGATTTAGAACAAAAGTATTTTAGTGTATTTCTCATTCTTTAAAGCTTGCCCCTAGGGCAGGACTTTGCTAATAAGTAGCGACACGAATTGTAGGTAGCGAACTCGAACGTAGCGAAATTTGACAAGGAGCGAAACCGTCGTAAAGCGTCGCAGTCTTCCATTAGCAAAGAGCGTCTCTTATAATGTCATTATGCTTCAGAAATTGAAAAGAAGATTCACCCTGAACTATTTACATTTAAGCAACCTAATCGGAACTAAGAATATTTCCGAATCCTAGAATGATATTTGTCATTCTTTCCCGCATCGGCAAAGCTGCACTTTGATTAAACCACAGTAGGATTTGGTCTGAAAGTAGGTCACTCACAGGACACTAAAAGAGAAACAACAAGTAACTGTTAAGGTTTCAGTCAAACCGGAAGAGAAGTAAGACTGTTCATCATTGGACCCA